GAATATAGGAATAGATATGAATCAGAAGAAGGAACAATTGTAGAGAATGAATGGATAAACTCACGTGAACAACAAATAAAAGATATTTGATTTGAAGATAATTTAATTATAATTATTCTGTTTTAAATTTTTTACTGTTATAACGTCTGATAAATACTATTGTATGACATGGCTAAAACAATAAATTTTTCAATTAAGCCAATAACTATACTTTCTGTCTTAATAATTCTTAACTGTACTTATGTCACTCTGTTATTTATGGCAACGTATTAAAAAAACTTCACAGTGTAACAAATAAAAAGAAAATAGATTATGTCAAAGATATTAAAATTAAAGTTGAAAACAATAGTAGAATTATTGGACATGGATTTTTGATGTGAAAAATGTTTTTAAAGTGGTTTGGGATGTTATTTCTTCAGAGCAAATGAATCCTATTGTTTTTAACGTTGTGAATCCTTCATTAATTAAAGACTGTCTAATATTTGTAAACATTTCAACCATCTAACAATTTGAATATAAATATTTAGTGAATGTTTATATTTTAAATACAATATGAGATAACAACAAACAACTTGTTCAATCAAATTTTCGTTTCCAATATCATCAAGAACAAAGAATAAAGAAGAAGCTTTCATTTGATGGCATTTAAAGATAAGATTTGAATAATACACCATACTTTTTTCATTTGAGCCAAATTGAAACGCATTATTTTCATTAAAAAATGAATGAATAACTACATTGTAATACATATTTGAGTGCATTGTTAAAAACATATCCCCTACTTTCATGTTATCAATATTCATGTGTTTAATTTGATACTCATAACCTCCATAATGAATATCATACTTTAAATTTGATTTTAAATGAAGTTGAATTGAACTTTCAAAACCCTTATGAATAGGAATATTTAATACAGCTAATTCTCCATTAAAAATATTTTGAATTGAATTATGTCTTTCAGAGCAATTAGCTGGAAATTCTCCATCAAGAAAAAGAATTGGAGATGAATTAAACTCTACAATCAATTTATTTTTAATTTGTTTAATTTCAAATGAAAAGTTAATTTTAATTGAAGAAGGAAGTTGTAATGGAATAATTTCTAATGCTTTAGGATTTCTAATTTCTGAATTGTCATCACAATATTCTTTAATACATCTCCAAAACAATGCAAAGTATTCATTTTGAGAATGTGAAACATGTTTAATTGAGTCTTCTATTTGAAATAATGCAAAACGATGATAAACACTATTCTGTATTAATGACAAATATCTAAAGAATAATTTATTCTGTTCTTTATTTATTGTAATAATTTCATTCTTTTCTTCTTTCCATTCTTCAACAATAGTTTTCCAATCCTCTTGTTCTTCAATTTTTTTTTCTTCTTCCTCTTGAACGATGTAATTAATTTCTTTGTTGGTTTCACTTGTTTTTGACATAACTTTTTCTTTTTAAGTTTTTTAAAATAAAAAAGAAAGTTTTTTACAAAGAAATAAAAAAACTAAATTATTGTTGGTGCAATTGGAGGAACAATGGATTGAACCAATGAATCTCCCCACCATTTTTTAAATACTAATGCTAACATAATTTTGTTTTTGACAAAGTCATGACGATTACATAATACTTTAAATACACGATTTCCTAAATCTCTAAAATATGTTGTAAATATAATGTCTTGAGGTGGAAAATTTTTTAAAGTTAATGCCATTTCACATATGGCATACCTTACTCTTCCATTATCACCTCGTTCATGAGTTTCTACAAATATAGTAAGTCCTTGTTGTGGATCACTTTTTAATAAAGCACGTATTGCTGCAACACGAACTTCATAAAAATTACCTACACTACAAAGTGACGTTAAGTCACATAATCCAGGTGCCATTTTAATAACAGCCAATGTTACAATATTTCTGTCTGATGGAATAATTTTGTCTTTATTTAATTCTCTTTTAAGGAATTTAGTAATTCGTTCATTATCTTCATCTTTAGAACTAACAATTTTTCCTAAAGCACCAATAACTGATTTAATAAAAACTCCATCTTGATATTTGTTTCTTTCATTTGTTGAATTTTCTGCAATTTCTAATAACAAACTAACTGCCTCAGGATATGATGGTAATGACAATGCATCAATTCTATTTTTATGTTTATCATCATATAATCCTCCCCAATTAATTTTATCTGTAAGACTATGAACTCTAACATCAGCAAAAGCTCCTATTAATCCTTTTTGTAGTTCATATCTTAATGGATTAGAAAAGTCTAATGGTATAACTCCAACACTTTCTTCGTAATAATTTGTTTTATAAAATTGTTTTAATAAATGAAATCCTAAATACCCATTTTGTTCACATGACATACGAGCAATAGCATGTGCAGCAGCAATTTGAACTTTATAGAAACAACGATGATTATTAATTAAAAAATCAAACAAGGCATTAATTCCTTTTTCACTTTTACATTTTTCTAATCCTTCAATAGTAACTAACTGACCTCTAACTGTTCTAACAAATTCTAACTGTGTTAACCACATATATTCTTGAAATGATTGTTTATCTCTTTTTATTCTTCTTGGGTAATCATTGTCTGGATCAATTTCAATATAAAGAATTGGTACATCAGTTTCTCCTTGACCACTTCGTTTACAATCTCTTGAATCTAAATCATACATAATTGTTTCACCAGTATCAGTTTTAATAGGTCTTTTTCTTTGTTTTCTAATTCTTGAATGACATGGAATACTTTTACTTGTTTCTTCTCCAGTTAATTCAATAGTATCTTCAATAGTTTGTTCAACTTCATGAATTCTAACTGGAACAACATTATATCCTTTTTCTTTTCTAGACTGATGAATTTTAAAATCTGTTTGAATAGTCCTTTGCGTAAACGTAAAACTAACAGCAATTTTACTATATCCTGTTCCGTTTACTAACCGTTCTTCAAATTGTTTCATTAAAGAAGAGTTTTGTGTTTGTAACTCTTTGACAAACTGTCTTGTTTTAATATTCCTTTTAAGATCATCCATTGGTTCTCCATTATTTAAAACCTTTTCACAAACTAACTTTTTCATTCGATCCTTTCCTAAATTATTTTCCATTACTCCCATTGCTATATCAACTTTTCTTCGAAAATGATCATTGATTTCCATCTCAGCAAATACTTTTCTTTCTTCAGTATGTAATGGTTCTCCCCACTTTTGGTATAACACTAATTCTTGTGATTCAATAGACTTGTATTTTACATAATTTTGTCCATTTACTGTTTTAATAAATTGTTCTGCCAAATAATCACGAATACCTAATGTTATCCATTCATCACTAATTCTATTTGGAATAATATAATGTCCAACCCATTGTGATGCAACTACTCTTCCAATCTCAAAACTAACATGTCTATATCTATCAGCATTATCTTCAAGGTATAAAAGTTCTGTTGATATAATAATAAGACCAGCAAATGACATTGTTTGAGAATGAGGTAATTCTTTAGAAACGACTACTGAAAGAGAAAATGGTTCTGGGGTTGATGTATATTTCTTAATACATTGAATTGCTTTAGGAAACATTTGAGTTAGTGTATATTGTGCTCTTTTTTCTTCAATTGTACCAGAAAAATAACCAACTTTTAGTGATGATTCTATTGGTAATAATTTGACAGGTGCAATAATAAATCCATATGACTTGATAGGAATACGTGTCTTTAATGTATAATTGAACGTTCTCATCTCACCATTAATAATTGGAATACTTGGATTTCCTGTAGCAATAACTACATAAGGATCTGGAACAATAAAAGTCATTTCATAACATACTAATTGAAAAGAATTACAAATACATGGCATCCAAGAAGCAGTATCTAAATAACCATCTAATGTAACTAAACTTGAAGGAGTTGTATACAATCCACTTCCTTTATTTGTTTTATACGTTATTCTTAACACATAACTATTTTCAGAGTTTAACAATAGTTTTTCTGGCCAAGAAATCGTTAATTGACCAATACTTCCTTTATACATTTCTTCAAATGTTGAATAAGTAGGAGAATCAATAATTGGATAATCATTATCAAGAATCCCAGGAGTTTGTGTAAAATGACATTGAAATGCAGGAGAATCATCTTTTGTTTGTAGTTCCAATGAAATTGAATCAATAATTAAACGATTAACATGTAATATAATTCCTCGATTTTTGACAAATTCAACTGTTTTATCTGACATTAAAAATGTCATTGCAATTTCACTCTCTAATTTCCATGTTTGTGGATCAACTATAAATTTACCAAATACTTCATTTATTGAAATAAATTTAATTGTTTCTTCTTGCACAGTTAATTCAACCTCCATTAAATTTTTGTTTTTAAGTTCTTCACTTTCCTTTGTTTTTAATCAACCCTAAAAATAAATCAACTAAAGAGAGAAAAACAAATAATATGAATATTTATGTTATTTAAAGAACTAAAAAATATTTTTAAAGTAAATGACATTTAATGGATATTTCTTATATAAAAAGCATTTTATTAAATTTTACAAAATTATTTAATGAAAATGAAGAAGAAAGAAAAGTAATTTATTTTATAGTTGATGAGATAACTGTTTGTTTAAATATTTTAAATAACTTTAAGAGAAAGAAATTTACAATTAGATGTCTATTATTTCATTTATAAATCAAACTGATAAAATTCAATTTGGAATTATGACAACAACTTCATTAAAAACGACTTATGATAATAGAACATATGCAAATGCATTACTTTTTATTTCTCCTAATAAAAAAAGTATAAATGATTTATGTAATCATCTTCACAATCCATCATATAATAAATATATCATTTGTTTGTTTATTTATTTAATTATAATATTAAAATTTTAATTGAAGTAATAATTTTAGTATTTAATGAAACAATTAATGAATTAATACTTCAAAAAATTGCAACATCTGATATTTTTCATTGTATTTATAATATTTATTCAATTCCATTTCAATTTAAATGTATTACTCCAAACTGTTTTATTTCATTAGATAAAAATCATTCATTTAACACATTATCTTCTTTTCTTCATTTAAACAATTTACATCCATCAATTTTTTTACAAACTAATTCAATTACAACTAATAATAAATTACTTGTTGAACAATTAAAAAAAGAAATACATCCATCAGATAATACATCATTACTAATTGTTCTTGATAGATGTTTTGATGGATATACTCCATTAATTCCAAATACTTCAATATTTGGTCAATTAGTAGAATATAATCAAATAAATCTTATAACATATTTTATTAATAAAAGTTTTTATTTTAATTTCGAACAAATTCATACAAAACAAATTTATGAAATGAATTTTGTTGATGCACAAGAATATATTTCTCAAAAGAAAAAAGAAATTGATTGTTCTTGGGAAGAATTAAAAGAAAAAATTAAAAATAATACGTTACATAGTGGAGATGATGTAGAACTTAATCAAATTTCACTTTCTAAAAATAAATTAGATATCGAAAAAGAAGAAGTAGATGCTTTATATAAAATTGTTTTTGAATTATCAAAAGAAATGATTAAAAAATATCAAACTAAAGAAAAATTTGGTGAATATTTTAATCTTCATAATTCATTTAAATTAAAAGATTTAAATGATGAACGAATTGAAATAATGAAATGTATTTTAAATAAAAATGGAAATTCAAAATATAATCAACAAATAATAAAAAAATGTAATGAAAAACATAGAATTCTTCCATTTAATTCATATTACGATATAATTAATTCATTATTAACTAATACACAATATATTCCACCAATTATTGAATTACTTAATACAATAAAAAATATAAAAGAAACAAAAATTAATATATTAAAATATCTTAAACTTGAATATGGAAATATTAATAATTGGAATACAATTATTCTTTGGATTGAAGGTGGTATTTCTTTGGTTGAAGAAAAATATATCTTTGATTGGTGCCAAAAAAATAAAGAATTTAAAGTTATTATTGGTGGTTCATTAATATTAAATTTTGAAAATTATAAAGACTGGTTATTAGAATAATTTAATTAATTGATTCAAATTGAAATTCTTCAAAATAAACAGGTTTAACACTTATTTTATTACATTTTGGACATTTAAAAGTTAAACCAAGAGTTTTTGAACAACAATAACAATAACAACAATGCCCACAATTAAATATAGTATTAATATAATGTTTTTTACAATTCCAACAAATATTATCATCAGTTTCTTTTAAAATATCTTTGCATTTTGGCTTAATAATATTTTGATTATTATTTATACCTCCTACACCATTAAAAAATCCATTAATATAAAAATTATTTTCATGAAATTGATTATTTTCTTCACGGTTTAATGAAGAACAAATAAAATAATCAGAAGTTATCCATTCACAATCATTACCACTTATAGCTTTAATACAAATTGTTATTGGATCTTTTGGATATGTAATCATTTGAATTGGCCATGTATTAATTGTTGTTGAAGAAAATCCAGTAATAAAACTTACTACTTGGGGAAGAATAGCATAATTTTTTAATAAAATTTCATTAATATTTGAATTTGAATATTTAAAAGAACCTGACATAATTTGAATTTGTTTTGTTTCATCAATAATATTATTACCCATTAATAATTCTGTTATTTTATTTTCTGAAAAACAAATATCATATGCAAGTATTCCAACAGTAAGACTTTGAATATCATAATCATTAAATTGTGCTTGAATTTGACAAAAATTCTTATTTATTTTAATAACGTTAATTGTTAAATTTGATAGATTTAAAGCACTAATTGATTGAATACTAATTATTACTTTAGGAACTTCTTTAAATGTTGAATTAAAAGTAATTTTTACCGGTTTACAATTTGTTATTTCTATTGAATCTGAATAAATAGGTAATATCTCTTCAAAAACAATATAACTTATTTCTATGACTGATGATATTTCTTTTTCTCCAATAACATCACAAGTAACTCCTGTTTTTGTTACAGACAACGCAGAAACAAAAGAAATATCACTTTGTTCAATATCAAATTTTGAAATTCCCCAAAACCACTACCTTTAAATTTTTATTTCTCTTAATTTAATAAAATAATTTACAAACACACGGCTGTTGGTATTGTTGACTTAATGACTCTTTTATAGACATTTGACCAGAATCAATTGTTGAAATATTACATAACATTTTTTGACATTCAATTGACATTGAAATATTTTATTACTTTTTTAAGTTTTAAATAACTCAAAAAAAGAAAATTAAATTAAAAAAACCAAATGTTATTCAAATTTGAACTCACAATATCACTCGATTAAGCGTGTGGTTTTTGTTTCTTGTTAG